GAATCTAGGCAGGAATTGAGAAAGGTCGAATTCCAGGTATTAAATGAAGTCCCTTCCCACTAAACAAATATACTTTCAAGGTTCAACTTCGATAAGGAGATCGGTGCCTGCTTTTTTTTTTTAATTGGGACACTTGTCTAGCATTTAGACTGATGCTAACACACTGTAATCAGCGTAGAACCATTGGGTTATAAACACTGTGTCCGTCCTGTTATGAGATAGAGCAGAAAGCGCTTCTTTCTGACCCGCACATTTTCTGTCTTCTCTTGAGAGGGAAGAAGATGCTGACATGCTGTTCTAGGAAAGATTTACGGCACATCTGCCTCAGAAGCAAGGGATGGCTTTTGATGTAGCCCACGCCCATCTGCACCTCAGCCTCTCTTCCCAGTTTGAGTTATCACCTGAAACCACCTCGTCCCTGATGCACCTGCTTCATCATAAATAACATCGTGCAAAGGCAGTGGCTAATTCAAACACGGTCTGCCGTTCGGGGGGAAGGCAGCTTTTCATCTGGAGCTTTAGTGGGTCTGAGGCTATTAGGCATGCCTTTCAGCTCCATCCATCCTATAAATCACCCACAGCCTGCTCCTGTGCTTCGGGATCAATGTCAGGCCAAACTTCTTCGGGGTCTTTGGAAGAACATGATCTATTTTGTGCTGAAATTAGCAGCCCCTGCCAAGATGTCTGACAGCTGAGTTCAGCTTATCATATCAATTTTAAGAAGGGTTGGGTTGGGTATGTGTTTTTCCTGCTAGAAACTTTTCCAGTACCATTTATGATCTGTGGGCTAAGTCTGGTGGTCAGAACGGTATTTTTTTTTCTTCTTTTAGCTTTGTTGTTTTATAAAATAAAAATGTGTTTCCTATTGTCTTACTATGCCTTTTTACCCAGAGTGATGTGCTATCAGGTGCAGGGAGCCTATTTCAGGAGTTGCACCCCAAAGGCCTGTCATCCTTGGATTCTCTTTAACTAACTGAATTGGTACTAAACTCTCTCTCTCTCTCTCTCTCTCTCTCTCTCTCTCTCTCACACACACACACACACACAGAGGCATGCTTGATTTATAAGGAGCTGGTTTTAAATGTGGTGGAGGAAGGTACTTTCTTGCTTTGGAGTGGATGAGACCTCTCAGTTCTGTACTAGGAGAGTGTTCTGGCTAGCTGTGGTGGCACACATTAGTAGAATTTGCTGAAGGAGGTGGAAGCAGAAGGATCACGAGTTCGAGGACAGCATTCTATACTGGACAGGAGCTCTGTTAATGCCTACACAGACAGGCTGGTGTATTTATGTGGGGGCAGTGGTAGAAAGGAGTGAGGTTTTGTGGGTTTTTTTATTTGTTTGTTTGTCATTTGTTTGTTTGGGTCTGTGCTATTTGCTGACTGGGATATAGGTTGAATTTCAAGCAACCAAGTCAGAAATGAATTCTCTTGGGTGGGAATTATTTTCCAGCCTGCAATGCATGTCAAGTAGTGATTTGAATAGTCAACAGGTTTTCCATGTGTCTTCTGCAAGTCTCATTTTCAAGGGAATTAAGTCTTTTGACATTCAGGTTAGCTGTAAATTAAGCCAGGATTTGACTGACTGCTGTCACACACTCTCATTTTGTATAACACATACACTGGTTTCCATTTATAGGCATATTGGACAGGACAGATACTGTCTACAAGAAAAAGGGTGAGGGGCCGGCTTTGCCTTAGGAAGTGTGGGAAGGAGCAAGTTCAAAGCCCGAGAACCCCAGAGCCACAGAGGACTGTAAGGAGAGCGTCACTGAGAGCAGGTGTCAGAACCACAGTGAAGTGGAAGGACGAACGGGAGCCAGGGGGTGAGAGAGGGCAAACACTCACGCTTCCATCTACCCTGAGGTGGCACATCTTTCATGGAGAGAGTGGAGCCCAGGGATCAATACGTCTTCGATTCTCATGCCCAGTACTTTGGATATGGAAGTTATTTCCTTAACAGAAAACAATCTTAACTTGTCATTTGGGCCCTCGTGCTTCAGTTCTGGAACCGAACCTAACAGAACGAAAGACCTGCACCAGGAATGCGTGCTCTTGAGCAAGCGCTAGCTGTTGCTGTGGCTCACAGGACAGAGAATGCTTGAGAAACTGAGCTGCTGTGGCTTATCCCCTTAGGTGTTTAAAACTAAGCTTCCAAACAGCACATTCTGTACCATCCTGCTGGCTCTGTGTTTATCTGCCACACGGACAGTTAGCCTTTCGGGAAGCGCCTGGATTGGCTGCTAGCGAGAGATTGTCTAGAATGAGTGATGGATACTGCGTCCCATTGTCTCTCTATTGTCATTTGGTCATGCAAGGAGTCTGCAGAGGCCGGAGGAAGGTTTTGGAGTTCCTTGGAGTCGCCATGTGGGTGCTGCGAACTGCACCCAGGTCCTGTGAGAGAGCAGTGAGCTTTCTTTGCTCAACGGTCTCTCCAGCATGGAGTCTGAATTTGGGGGATAGAGAGAGGGGATGGAATCCAAGCCCTTACCTACTTTACAAAAGAGTAAATGAGAGTTACAAATGCCGGTAGCTTTGGGGGTGAGTGGCTTGAAAGCAAACTCAGTGACCTGTGACTATTCTGGTAAGCTGTTTACTGCCAGTAAGTAGACCGCAGACCCTGGGAAGCAAGATTCCAGGGTGACCCACTTTGTACTGCCGTCACATGGCTGTTATATTAGCCTGGTCACCTTCCTGAGTGCCAGGTCACACATTCATAGAAGGAGGAGTTTGGATCCGGCCGTGAGGCCGCATGGCTTATTCTGTGGCCATCTTACAGTCGTAATCACTCAGGACACACTTGACCGCTGAGCTACAGCCTCCAAATCCTGCAGGCTTATCCTTGATCCTCTTGACAGCTCCTTCTAACTGATTGTAGTTGGAAATGAAATCTAGTTTCCACCCCTTGAAACGGACAATTTCTACGGGCCCTTTGAATGTTTATCATCTTTTGATTTTCTGGAGTTCTCGAGCCCTGGCTAACCATCTCGCAGAGACACTTGGGTAGATTGGTTTCAGTGACAAGCGAGTCGAGATGTCAAGGAAAGTTCATGCTTCCCGGAAGAAAAGCTTTCCATCCTCGGAGTCTTATTCTTTATCCTGTGTGAAGGACGCTGTGTGGCTGCCACCACAGAATGCTGTTCTTAGACAGCAAACTAAACAGGGTTCCTTCATGGTCCCAAGAAGTAAGTCAGGTGGGCCTGGTATCTCTGGTCACAGCCTCTGAGCATGAGGTTGGCTCTAGCTTCTGAGGACAAGGGCTGATCTCTGTTCTCATCAGCTGTTTGTAACAAGTGGATTATACCTGAATTATACTCATGAAAATGGTAATTCGAAGAGGAAAGAAGCTCCCTTCTGTCTACTGCCATATAGGACAACAACACTGAAGTTTTTGTTGTTGTTGTTTTGTAGTTTTGTTTTTGATTTACCAACAGTTTGTGTATGTCGGTTCCTGTCATCTGAAGGGCTCTCTTAGTTATTTAACTGTTTCTCTGGTCTCGGATCCTTTGGGTGTTATGACCATGTCTTGCCTAACTGAAGCACAACGCTGGGGCCCAGGTGCTGAAAATCCCAGTGGAGTGGTTCTCAAGATCACTCTCTTCCTGTTTCTAACAGGTTTGTTTTTCAGTGGAACTTTTGGAAATTCTTCTCCTGCACTGGCTTTTGGGTGGGACAGAGGTGACAACAGGAAGCTTTTTATTCTCTGTATCTTTCTTTTTGAGATTAGGTCTCTCTATAGCCCGGGATACCCCGGAACTCACTATGTAGACCAGGCTGGTGTTGAACTCACAGAGATCTTCCTGCCTCTGCCTCTGGAGAACACAACCACTTCTATATCTATATCTCCGTATCTTTCTTGATTCTCTTTTTTTCCTAATTGATATTTTCATTTGTCACGTTGGCTTTATAATTTTTTTTTTCCTAACACCTCATCCCTGGGCACCACCAATCCAAGCCCATGAACCCTACCTGGTTTTGAGGCTCTTAGTGTCCCCACCCCCAAATCCTAGGTGGACCAGGTGCTCCTGGAGGACCAAGCTCTGGCCCCTTCGTTAAGATGCAAATTCCTTTCAGTGTCTCAAAAAGAAGGATTAGCCCAGGTTGTGTCCTCCTATATCCTCCACAAGATGCTGCCTGTCAGGCCTCGGTGCAGTGTTTGGCTCTCCTTCAGCTCTGACTCCCCAGGTTCTATAAATCCTGACTGACCACCTCCATTGTCCTGACACACAGCCAGAAGGTCCCTGCACTAGGTCCCCGGGAACCCAAGTAATAACGTAATGGCTTCTGGCCCGCATTGAGCAGTGACTGACAGGGGCTTGGTGAGTGACAAGCCACACAGACGGGCAAGAGCAACTCATCTAGGCTGGGGTAGTACTCCTTGTTCCTAAATATAAAGTGCCTTCTCATCCTGCGTGTTAGCCGAGACGGAGGCTTTGCACACAGCACATACACAGCACCCAAACCAGAGATTTGATGAGAGGAACGAAGGTCAAATAACATCTGATGTTCTAGTAAAGCTGAGGAGCTGGCATTAAATCCCTTGATATGTGCAAACATAAACGCACTCTTAAGATGCGCACAGAGAAGACACAAACCATGTGCTTTAATCCCAGCTCTCTTTCAAATCGCAGACTTTTCAACTTCAGCTTTGGTGCTCTTCCACGTGTCCAGTGCCCCTCAATCTCCTTAAGTTTTATCTAATTCATCCCATGAAGTCTTGACCTGGAAATCCCTGACTCTGTGGCGTAAAGCTTCTGGAGCCTGGTTCCTCTACACCTGTTCACAGTGGCTGTAAAGGAGCGAGTGTGAAAATAGCACCATGTGGATCATGGTCCAGAACCAGTCTAAGCATTTTACGATATTTGATTGAGCATCATTGACAGTGTGACGTAGCTCTTTCCTTGCCTTCTGTCATTGTAAGAGCTACTGATGAAATCCTACTTTTCATACTGCATGTCACTAATGACATTGTTTTCTTGCTTTCTTTTTTTTTTTTTTTTCCAGGAAAGTATGCCTCAGACACCTCCCTTTTCAGCGATGTTTGACAGCAGCGGTTACAACCGAAACCTCTACCAGTCTGCAGAGGACAGCTGTGGGGGCTTGTATTACCATGACAACAACCTCCTTTCCGGGTCTCTGGAAGCACTCATCCAACACTTAGTACCCAATGTGGATTACTATCCAGATGTAGGTATTGGCGTTCCTCTAAACCCATCAGCTGTATGGATTAGAAGCTGCAGCGTGCGTGGCAGGGACGCTGCCGTTGCTGTGGAATTACCTAGGTTGCTAAGAAGTCTTTCTAAGAAGAAACTATGTAGTAGTTATTGAAAGTTCTAAGTCCAGATGGAGCCTAGGGGTGGGTCCGGTTGCGGTGAAGTCCCCGCATCTGCTTCTCTTTAGGTTGCCCACTTTATTTTAGGCAGCCTAAATGAAGTGATGCCTTTCGACTCGCTCCGTACCTACATCTTGCTCCGTAAATGAAAATGGCATCAGGAGGAGCATTGGCGCTCCAAGATGTGCCTGTGATATGACATTAGTGTTGCTAAGGAAAGTCCATAGAGAGAGCTGAGCCACACACAGATGCAGTCATTTGTAGATTGGACCTCAGGTGGCTTTCCCTTGATAGACTGTATGGCCCTTTCTGACCTAGGAAACCCATCGTGCATTATCCCAGTCTTCGTTATTCCAAGAGGCGAGAGGAGAGACAACGGAAACTCAACACCACGTATTTACTCACTGGCTCCTTTTACTATGAGCAGGCAAACCTGGTTGCCTGTCTGGGCCAGACGAGTTCCCCATTCCCTCTTGTGACTGTTGAGCTGAATTTAGCCAGGACAAAAAGGTTGAGTTTAGTAGGCAGCGGTTTATTGATGGTGAGCTCATGGAAATACCTAGGGACCACATTTTTTAGTTTTTATAGATACGATAATAACGTTGTTCTGCAGAGGAGCGTGTGTGCTTGCCAGTGGCAATTCACCACAATTCACCACAATGTTCCTCACTGAGTTATCTCCGTGTGATTCATTACATAGCATTTTCCAGTATGTTCCCACACAGGGGAAACTTGTTATCAAAAGTAAAAGGAATCCCTTGTTCAGTCCTGTAAGTGTGTATGAACCACTAAAGGTGCCTGAGGAGGGTTGGGGGAAGCAAACAATCCATGGAATTCCTCTTCTCACCGAGAGCCTGAAACTGGGAGAGCCAATAAGCACTGCTTCGTTTCATGCCTCCCGGGAGACAGTATGGCTGAAGAAAAGAATATGGTGCTGTGTTGTGCTTTGCCAAGTCGCTCAGTCTTGAGCAAGCCAGCCTTTGGATGTTGTGACGCAAATACCGTGCGCTTCACTGAACACACAGGAAGATTCTTGACTGAGTGTGGGTAGGGTAGCTGGGTTTTGTTTCGTAGTTGTTTGTTTCTTTATTGGTTACAGTAATACGTGGGCACATAACCTTCTTCAGCGTGGGCAGCATGTTTAAGGCAGCCTTGCCGTTCTGGGCTGGATTTCATTCTTCTTGATTATACTGGGAAATGAACGTGTCCTGGCTTCCCAGGACGGACAAAATGTCCTCTGGATCATTGCAAGAGTCGAATTTATCCTGTTATTTATTTATTTATCTATCTATTTATTTATTTATTTATTTATTTATTTATTTATTTATTTATTTGTAAGTGTCAAGGGGAAAGAAAAGGTGATGATGAAGGGGAAATGATGCTGTTTTACTAGGAGGCATTTACCCCAATCTGCAGCCTGATAACTTTGATGCATAAGGAGGTTATAATGTGTAGAGAGATTGTAACGACAACGATTTCTTTTTCTCTTGCTGCAGAGGACGTACATATTCACCTTCCTGCTCAGTTCTCGGTTATTCATGCATCCGTACGAACTGATGGCCAAAGTCTGCCAACTGTGCGTTGAGCACCAGCGACTGAGCGAAGGGGAGGGTGATAAGGTATGCAGCCTTCGAGCTCTTGTTCTTATTAGGTCTGCCAACTCTGGCCTGGAGTTTGTGATCTCTGTGAGTAATCCTAGCTTCGCCCCAGGCTGATGTGCCTAAGTGGCCTCACGGCCATGCATGTGGAACTGGGAACAGAGCAGGGCTCGTGGGAACGTGTAAGGCTCTAGGTTAGATCCCCAGCACTGCAAAATCAAATAAAGCAAATCAAAGAAAAGTGTAACAGTCACAGGGGAGTCCTCAGTCCCACCTTTGCTGACTGCAAAGTGTTGGTCTGGAAGTGGCCACCACTTCTTCTACCCAAGCGGGAGTTAGTCAGTCAGTGACGCCAATTATTTGGTCATTTAATGCAGACCATGGTGATGGATAGCTCTGATGCAGATTTCTTTTTCTCCCTAGAACCAGATGAGAAAAATTGCACCTAAAATTCTTCAACTCTTGACGGAGTGGACAGAAACATTTCCTTATGACTTCCGGGATGAGAGGATGATGAGAAACCTAAAGGACCTGGCGCATAGAATGGCCAGTGGCGAGGAGGTTGGTCACTGAGATTTCGTCAAGCCACGGGGTTTCCAGAGGGAGCCAGGGTGGGAAACAGGGCTGAACTGCCACAGAGCTCAGCGATGCCTTTTTGTTCCGTCTTTGGACAGCTCTCTACACAGCGTATATTATGTGTGTATCAGGTGGGGACTAATTATTCTGTCCTACCCAAATGAGTGTGATCTGGAGTTTTACTTGTTTTTTTGGAGGGTTGTGTCTGTTAGTTCATTGCTAGGTGCGTTTCTATTTTATTTTACTTCAGTCCATCTTCTGCTAATGGTCTGACCCAGTTCATCTCTTCGTGCCTGCCTTCACTTAGTGGAGCTATAACTAGATAGCATATTAATAACTCCTAAATAGAAACAGACAGTCTAGGCTGTGAGGAAAAGCACATAGGCCAACGTTGAGCGTGAGCGCAGATGCCGTGGTTTGTAGGTTCCACAAAAAGGGAAATACAGTTGGTTACATAATTGTCAGGGGAAGGAAAAAGCATACTAATTCTTCCGGGCACTAAATGAAAAACTTAGAAATGTGGGGCTGGTAGAACATTTGCCTGGCAGACATAAGGCAGTGTGATGAGGAGCACAACAAAACAAGAGAAAACCAAGCCTTCTTAGGAGGGATTTGGCGTAGGAGGCTTAACATGCCCTTTTACAGTGTTTACAGAGAGCGCCCCTTGATAAAGGAGAGAGCACGCAGGCTTGTATAATGAGCAAAGGTAATTCTTGGGGCTGGGGTGTCTAGGGTTGGGGGTGACACGCACGGAAGCAATCCAGGTTTGGTGCTGGAAGTTGATCAAGACTAGGACCTGGCATAAGCGGAGATTCAAAGTAAGTCTCTTAGGTCATCCTCCATAAATATCGCTTCCCTCAGCTGAGCCTTTGATAGGTAGGCGCTAACCAGCTTCAACAGATTCGAAGTAATTTGAAGCGGGCCTGGAGGGCCAACTGTCTGTCGAGGCTTGTTGTGCAGGGATATCTTTGTACTTTCCGTGTGGCAGATAAGTTTCTGGGGGACAAGTATGGCACGGATGTAACAGTATCGGCTAGAAAAAGGTAACCGAGGCACCTGGCAGCTGCTCCTCCTTGACAGGCCCCTGGAAAAGTAGTTCTCTCAGCTCCGTGCTGCAGAGATAACAGTTCAAGACATCTGCCCTGACTCACGTGAATGTGTCTTCCTGCCGACTTCCTAGCCTGCGACTAATGAAATTAGGTAGAAACAGCTCTTAAGAGCTTCGCACTTAGCTTTCTTGCATGCCCTTCCCTGCTGGTGGTGAGTGGACAGACTTCTGGTCAGGTTGCCTGGCTTAGGGTCCTTGCTGCTGTGAATGGACAGACACAAATGAACACCCACCAAGGTAAAAGTCCAATTGTGCAGTTCTGCTATACATAGTCTATCAGGGGCGGCTGCTCCTGGCTGCTTGGCAGGGTCTGTGTCGGTTCAAGTGGCGTTGGCTTAGGACAAGCTGGTCAAAAGATGAGTGCCGTCCTAGGGCTGTTTGTCCTATGAGGCGAAGACCTGAGTCAAAATCAATTTTTCATTTCAGTTCAATTATACGGGGCGATTGATGCTGCCGGCAGATCTGTAGAAACTAGAAATTTTTTCTAAACTTGTTTCTTCCAGAAAGGAAGATTTGATTTTTTTTTTTTTTAAGATAAAACGCAGTGATTTGAAAATGCCAATTTGATAGCTTTTTGGTCGTTTTTATCAAGGAGATCAGAAATGGTGATCCTTTCTATTTGTTTGCCAACTGAGATCTGGTCTTCATACGCAAGGTCAAGGCTTCAGGGACTGGGAGGAATGGAGGAACAGGCAGACATCGAGACCCCGACTTCTCGTCGGCACTCTTCTGTGAACAGTATGGAAAGGTCAGCTGGCTCTGAGAGAGGGGTAGCAGGAGAAGGCATTACTAAGCGGAGGCTGTGTCTGCCTTCCCAGGCCTTCCAGGAAGCTGGCATTTCTGCTTTCATCCAGAATTTAGGAAGTGGCTGCACACAGAACGCTCTCTTGATCTGGGTGTGCTCTGGCCAGTGCCCTCAATTCCTACTCCCTTCTCGTTGCATAAATCATGACAATGACTGCCTCATGCTAATGTGGAAGAGGCTTGTGCTTCTGTTATCGTCTTGGCAGGCTCCTTCCTCTCCTGGGTTTAAAGTTCTCTTCCCAGAGAGACCCTCCCATTCTTGGCCTTCATGCCTTTTGTTTTACTCTGGGATTTGTACTTAAATGTTTGTTATGCCCACTTTATTGCTCACCATGGCATCTTTAACTCCTATCTGAATGCCTGGCATATACTTGGTTCTCCTTATATTTGAATGAATGAATGAATGAATGAATGAATGAATGAATGAATGAACAAGTCAGTTACAAGAATGGGGAAACATTCCTCCCAGTGGAAGAAGCCTGCATTTGAATTGGGACCTGTTGCTTCTTGCCTCTGACTTCAGGGATTTTTTTTTTTTTTTTTTTTGGCAATCAAGAAATCCAGGTGTGCCCTGTCTGTAATTCACTCAGGTTCTTTAGAATTTGCTGGGACAGTTCCGAATAATTTGGCTTAATATGCTTCTCCCCTGGGGATTTGCCCCAAATGAAGTGGTTTATTAGGACTCGCCTGGAAGAAACATGAAATGAAACTAATGATTGAATTACATGACAAATGACTAGAGTGGGTAGAATGCAATTTTCTCTTCCTTAAGGGGCTGGTCTTTATAATAAGAACTCTGTCTTTATTTGCCAGGTAATTACTGTCGCTGGCAACTGAAGTTATAAAAAAGAATAAGCACATATTTAGCAATTCGTGACTCAGTGAGGGAGCGTACTTAGCCACACAGAACCTGATTTTTCAAATGGAGTCGGAGGAAAACAGGAAACTTTGAGAAGGGTCACAGCATTCTCCTGCCTCCGTCCCTCTTTCTCTCCCCACACACCGGTTCCAGTATGCCCCCTCGTGTTCTCTCTTGTGTTATGTCTCGAGCTGCCTTTTGCTCAGGAATGACCTATGGTTCTTCTGCCCTTCCTGAGGGGAGCATTGTAGAGGACGCAAATCTTTCACCTGAGAGACTTTTAGGCCAGCCCTGCCTCCTGCCCATTGGTGCCTGTCACAATCATCTGCCGTGCTTTCACAGTGTGCCGCCCAGCCTGCGCCTCACCCAGCTCAGTCAGAATCCCCCAGGTGGTACCCAGGATGCAGGCTAGGGCGAGAGGGGAGATGTGTGATGTAGAACTAGCTCGTGCGGGATGTAAAATAATGGACACTTTAGCAACTAGTTTTTGCTTTCCCAAGTGAAAAGGAGACTTTCTTACCCGTGTGCATTACGTATGGTGTCCAAGAAGTACCGCTGGGCGGGCTTTCACTTTATTTACAATAAGTCAAGCAGTGCAGGGGTCTGTCTGACGGTGGAGTAAAGAAGTTCACACCGAGCAAAGCTGCTAGTCCCACTTCTGAACGGCACCAAGTGTTGTCAGATTTGTATGTGCCCTTTCAGAATGCCTCCTTGGTTGGTGAGTGTATATTCATGCATGAGTGCACACACCCAGAGAAACAGTGGGTTTAGAAAATTAAGTGTTGGTCTGGAAACTTTGGGATTCTTCTCAGAAAAACCTGACCAGGATGTCCCTATCCACACCAAACTGCTTCCCATGTTAGTAATGACAGTTGTGGGTCACTCTTCTAAATGGGTTTTCAGGACTCGAAAATGCAACCTCCTAATGTGTGTTTTCCACTCAGGGAGGCACATGATGTAGCTAAAGTGTCTCAAGAGGAGTAATATATTGGGAACTAGTTGCACAATTTTAAGAAGTAGTGGAAACACTCGTGTAGGCATTTATAAGGACATTCGGTACAGAAGACTGACGTAAACACAAGTTAATTCTGTGTCTCAGCGTTCCTAAAGAAGGTGAGGCTGGGATGGAGTGAGATAGCACGTTACTTAGCCCTAAGTCCTTCAGATGCCAAAGAAAGACACATTTTCTTTGAATGATAAATACATTACCAAATAGAGAGCAAGTTCCAACCTTAATCCTGAGTGGGAGATAGATTGCTTAAAGGGCTTTCTGGTTTTGCTTATGTTTTTTGACATGGTGGGCGTTGTTTGTTTGAGACTGTTTCGTGTTATCTCAGGCTAGGCTCAAACTCACTATGGAGCTGTGCTCCATTTAAACTGTTAAAAAAAGAAAAGATTATATAGTGGGCAAATTGAAGAGCTCGTTTGACTGTCACTGCCAGGTCACTGCCTTCTTGCGAATTAGCTGTTTTCAGACTTTCCTTATTGTAAAAATCTACAGTTCTTTTTTTTAAAAAAAACATACCCTAAGGCAAATTAGAAAAAAAAAGTGTATATTTTATATTTATAGTTTTCAGATTGCTAATCTTGGCAGATGATATTGGGCGCCTTTTAGAAAGCCAGTGAGGCATAAGCAGAGCTGGCCCGAGTCTGTAGACCCCCCCGTGACTGTCCTCTTTCGGAGTATCAGCCTAAGTGCCTGGCTGGCATTGAATCAGCCTGCATGCCCTTGCCAACGTGAACACCATTACCTAGAAGGAAGGTTGCTTTTAGTAGTTTGGGGCCAGAAAAGGAAGATTAGAACAATGCCATTACAAATAAGTATACCCGAAGGGAAAAAGGGAGGGAGGGAGGGGCAGAGGAAGGAAGGAAGGAAGGAAGGAAGGAAGGAAGGAAGGAAGGAAGGAAGGAAGGAAGGGGGGAGGGAGGGAGAGAGGGAAGGAGGGAAAGAAGGAAGGAGGGAAGGAAGGAAAAAGGATGGCTTGACTGGGAAGTCATTTGTTATGTTTGCTTTAACAGGTGTTTTAAAATGCAAGGAGTTGACACCTATAATACAGGAAATACTTTTATGATCAACTTCTCATAAGTGTCATGAATATAGCGTGATAAAATCATGAACAAGGTGGCACCTCATAATGTCATTGTGGTGAGAACTGCCAGGCGAGAGAGTGGCTGTGAACATCAGTACTAACTCTTGAATGGGGGGAAAATGAGCATGAGTCAAGAGGAGGTCAGATAACAAAAATGAATGGCCAGTTCCCCTTCAGGTGTGAAAGTCAGGAAGGTGAAGTGGAAAGTAATGGTGCTTTTTTGCCACGGAAGCTGCCATGCACTTAGGAAAACAAGGCTGAAAATAATAGAAACAGCGAAGCCACATAGGTGACTATAAAAAATGTGGGAAGAGGATGATCTGCCTCAAGATCCGTGTGGCTTAGCCTGCCATAAGGACTCTTGGTTGTGTGTAGTATTCATTTCGCTGGATGACCGCCGGAAAGGAACACGCAGCACAGAAGTGTTATGTGTCTCTTACTTCCCAGCAGACATACCGGAAGAACGTCCAGCAGATGATGCAGAGTCTGATCCGGAAACTCGCCGCCCTCAGCCAGTATGAGGAGGTCCTCGCAAAACTCAGCTCCACAGCCACAGACCGGCTCACAGTTCTGAAGACCAAGCCCCAGTCCATACAGCGCGATATCATGACCGTCTGCAGCGACCCTTACACGTTGGCCCAGCAGCTGACTCACATTGAGCTGGTGAGGACCTGTGGTGTTTGCCCTGCGCGGCTGCAGGTGGTTTGCTTTGGCAGCCTGACTGTGTTTGCCGATAGTAAGATCTGTCAGGAGAAGGGTCAGAGCAACCCAAAAGAGAGACAGTCCACAAAACCAGCTGAAGCATGTTTTCTTTGGGCATTTGGGTATGGGCGTTTCTGATAGCCTGCAGATTTACTCAGAGACACACAGGAAACAAGATGGAAGAACAGGGTTTATTGACCTCCTTTATCTTCTGCCTCTAGTTATTTTCCTGTAACCGTTCGTTCTTCAACTGTCTTATGAAACATTGACCTAAGGAAAGAATTGCCTGTTTACATCTTAAAGATGATGAAAGTATTCAGGGTTAAAAGCTTATCTTATAATCGGCTTTAAGAACATAGGGGTGGTGCCAAAATGAATAGAAGGGAGTGAGCATCTGTTTTCTGGTTTTGTAGAATATGTTGTTGGCTTCTCTTTCAGGAGAGACTCAATTACATTGGCCCAGAAGAGTTTGTTCAGGCATTCGTGCAGAAGGACCCTCTGGACAACGATAAGGTAATCAGTATCAAGCTGTTTGTTTTTGTGTTTTTCATTAGCTGTGTGTGATTCATCATAGCTTTTCTTGGGCCGGGTCTGTGTGTGCTGGAGTGCCTGTACAATAGTCTTATCCCATCACTTCCTCCTTGTTGGGGAATTTAATAAGCCCTTCCTGGCAAGCAGATACAAGTGTTGATGGAAGCAGAAGATAAAAGCATAATGGTTTTAGCAGATTAAGCCAGAAAGAAAAATCAAAGAGCATGGTCTGCCCGTGATTCAGCAGCAAGGGCAGGGGAGGCAGGATGTACGTCCCGCTAGCACAAGCAAAGTTCTTGTTCGTCTGGCCCCTCCCTCCCTGTCAGTGAATCCGACATGACGGCGTTGTGGTGAAGCACACGCAAAGAACGTAGTACTCAGCATACACTGTTCATGTCATGAACACATGGACATTTCTCCCCTCCTAGTGTGACCACTGGAAGCATTTTGAATTGTTAGGCCATCTGTGGCTGTTTCACCTACTGCTGAAGTCCCTCTGGGAGACGAGACCACAGCTGTTTCCGTCCTTAGACTAGTTTCTCTCAGTATGGGAAGTGAAGACTGTTTTTTCGGTCTCAGGCTAGTGGACTGCTCTGTTTGTGTCTTCTGAAAGGAAGGAAAAAGGGATTAATGAACCTCTTCAAGCTTGGCCTTGAACTCCAAGATAAGAGTGACTTCTGCTTTTGAACAGTGGGTCACTCCCCCTACTCAAGAGTGTGGTAGTGGGGATTCTCAGTTATCTTCGGGTAGATGGCGCTCCAAAATTCTGTCTCCCATCTTAAGGCTAGGAGAGGGTTTTCTAGTCCTTCAGCCTCTTAGCTTCTCCTTTCCATGTTGATAGCAGTTGACATTTGCACCCTCTTGGGTATCCCATCATTGTTTGAGGATGAAGCACTGTTTCAGTTACATTTGCTGGGACAAAATACCCTAATGATGAATAACTCAGGGAAAAGGGCCTTATTTGGCTCACAGTTCCAGGTTCCAGGCCGCCAGGAAGTCAAGGTTGGAACTGGAGCAGCTAGCCACATCGAGGTCAAGGACAGAGAGAAACATAAATTTCAAAAAGTTCTGCCCTTGTTTATTCCTAGGATGAGTGGAGCGCAACATTTTTGCTTGCTTATGTAGCTCTCTAAAAATGCGCATAACAAGTTCCTCAGAAATAGAACCGTTATGTTTAAAGGGGTGGGGGCTGGGGAAGGAGCAGAGAGGAATAAGTGCAGCCAGGCCTGTTTGCTTAAGTGCTTCTTGGCTGTGCTGCCAGCCCTGCCTAGAGAAAACGATGCCGCCTGCTGTGTTCCTAGGCTTCCTACATCCGCTAACAGTCAAGACAGTGTCCCCCAAACTTGCTCACAGGCCAGCCGGATTTAGATAATTCCCCACTCAGACTTTCTTCTCGTGTGATTCTGCTTTGCATCAAGTTGACAGTTAGAACTGGCCAGCAAATCCTTCTTTGGGTCTGAGGGCACATGCCACCCAGAGTCCCAGCTTCCTGGGAGGGAGTGAAGGGCACCTTCCTGGTGTTTTCCCAACCCTCATTTGTCCGTGCTGCTTTCTCTGTAGAGTTGCTACGGCGAGCGGAAGAAAACGAGAAACTTAGAAGCTTACGTAGAATGGTTTAATCGCCTGAGTTACTTGGTTGCTACAGAAATCTGCATGGTGAGAACATGAAATTTTTTTTTCCTTCTCAAATCCAGTTTTCCTACTTACTTTCTACCTATTGGGTCTGTGTGCTGGGTTCCTGCTCACTGTCATTTTCCTCACAGCCAGTGAAGAAGAAACACAGAGCAAGAATGATTGAATATTTCATCGACGTGGCTCGAGAGTGTTTCAACATTGGAAACTTCAATTCCTTGATGGCAATAATCTGTGAGTATTTTTTTTACGAGGATACTAGGTTTTATGGGGCTTGCGAAATGTATCCACTGGAAATCGTTCTTTCATGAAAATTGCACCGTTTTTAATCCGGAGTTATTGCAGAGTGTTCAAATGCTTTATGCAGCCAAATTGGCGTGAACATGTATCATCTTTCCTTCATGAGCTTGAATTCACTGGATACTGTTAGTTCATTTTTCCTCAATTAATATCCATCCATAAAAGCTGAAGAGTGAAATACTTGGCCAAATAAAGGATTTCTAGAGGTGTTTGGGCAGCTTGTATACCAAGCATTATGGGAATGCTTGATCTGAGGTTACGTCCTACCATTCCCTCAGCATTAGCCTGAGAAACCAAATGTTTTCTGCTGCCCGTGCTTCTGTAATAGCTTCAGCTCTCAGGAGTGCAGTCCACCAGGTCTCTCCAGTTGACCTCTGGAGTTTTATTGACCAACGCTATGTTTTTTTCTATGCATTTTATTCACACACAGCAGCAGCAGCAAATCTTTGCAGCTCCCTTTTAATACTTGGTGGCCGTTTTACATGCTTCAGCCATTTAATAACCATTTGCATAAAAGAAGAGTCGGGTCATTTTGAAGCTAGAGAATCTTCCTGATTTAGTTTCTTAATATTTATCCTGATAAGTCTCTTCACTAACCCTTTTCCATTTTGTTTGTGTGTCGCCTGCCTTTGTCTTCCTGACTCTGTTTGACTTCATGAAAATAGTGGACAGAGTGATCATCTGAGCCCAGGCATGGTCTCAGTGATAGAGGATTACTTAGTTTTCTTCACCTACCAATCAGAAACTGCCAAGGCAAGCCATAGTATGGAAAAAAATATTAACATAGAGCTGACAAAGAACTTGTATCCATAACCCATTCAGAACCACGTGGCTGCATGCGTTAAATAGCCGGGTGTAATAAATATATAAAAGGAAATAATCAAAACTAGTTGCACCAAATATTGTTCAGGGTAAGGGGCATATGGATTGCTTATACAGGAATAGAGGGAGTTTAAAAAGTTCTATTGCTTCAATAACTGGCAATTTCTTATTACGCTAATCAAAAACCTGCCCTGTAATCCAGAAGTTCCAACTCCAAGATATTTGCCTCATAAAAAGGGAGCACTCCTACAGAAAGATTTGTGCTAGGGTTATAAATGAAGCTTTATTCCTAAGTGGCCCCAGCTTGGAATGAGCCCAAAGGCCCATTTGCAAGAAAACGACTGAGGAAACCGTGGTCTGTTCGTACAGTAAATACTCTTGAGCAATAAAGATGAATCACTGAAACATGCATAACCTGGATAAGTTTCACAATCACCTGAGCCTTTACCAGGCCAGGCATGAAAAGAACATTTGCTATGTGATTGCACTCATGCGAAATTCTAGAACAGACGAAGCTACTGTCTGGCGATAGGTCACCCTTGACCACTGTTGCGATTTCTGTAGGAGGTGGAAGCTGACCAGAAGTGGGTCCAGGAGAGCTTTCTGGATGAGAGAACGTTCTGCCGTAACTTGGATTGGAGTGGAGATAGACGACCTTGTAGACCTATCAAACTTATCTCATTTACATTTTAAGATTTGTGTATGTGTCTGTACATTTTGCCTCAGCTAGAAATCTCTTAAGACCGTTAAACATAGAGCATTGGCATGAGATGAATATGTGTACTCGTTTAGGTCCATATGAGCTCCTTTGCCCCTGCAGAATCTTACCAAGTAGCTGTAGTATGTAGGTTCTCACTGGGGGAGGCAGCATGGGATCCACACGGCCTGTGGAGTAACACCGGCGTGATGTGCAGCAGCCAAGTGACACTGGGGAAACTCGCCAGCCCCGGGACTTAGCTTATTTTGGTAGGAGAGTCTAGTGGGTATGTAGGAAAGCATATGCGAATCCTGGGTAACATTAGGATAACAGGAAACAGGTCAGCACATGACAGCCTGTGGCCCGGACACCAGCTGTTTTGGTTTGTTTTCTAATGGCCGGTGACCTAACTAGAGTTCTAATTTGGAAGTGATTGAAAAGAAAAATAGTTTCTAACATATGAATATACGTTCAAGGTTCAACATCTTGTCTGGTATGGAGTCCTACGACTTTCATGTTAACACGTGGGAGACTAAGGAAGGAGGATCTGGAATTCAAGTCTTTGACTCCAAAGTCCCCGACCTATATGAGGTCCTGCCTTAGAAAACCAAAGCCAAACAAACAAGACACGCAAACCTAAGCGTCTATGAGTATAAGATTGATGGATTGCAGCCATGGCCGTATGTTCACGTAGTTGCCGTGGCTGCTCATGTGATACAATGTGGCAGTGTCGTGGTCCCACAATATGGCCTGTCTACCCTAAAACGTTCACTGTTTTCCCCAAGGGATGTGCTTAGCCCTGTTCACAGCTAAGGAAATGTGAAATTGGAGGCCGTTACCACTAATCGCAAAACTCACTTACTGATGCTTAGGTACGTACGCGTTTTAGAAGAATGCGCTAGGATGGCTTCTTACATCTCTGTTTCATTTTTTCTTCCCTTCATGTGCATTTTAAATGGGAAGCTGGTATGAATATGAGCCCGGTTTCTCGACTAAAAAAAACTTGGGCCAAAGTGAAGACTGCAAAGTTCGACATTCTTGAGGTATGTGAAAGTGATGACTTAGTGTTGAGTGGATAGAGCTTGCCTGTGATCCCAGCACACTGAGGCAGGAGGATTATGGATTTTAGGGCAGCCTGGGATGATAGCAAGGCACCTGGAAGATGGAATTTAGCTTTATGATGCTGCCTCTTAATCAGATAGTACCATCAAAGGAAAAGGCTTTCAGACCCAGAAGTAAGAAAGGGATTCAGGCTGGCGTAGAGAAAAATAAACTGGGTTTCGGGCTGGTCCTCCTGAAAACAGAGGGGAACATTATGGAGTAGTTGATGGAAGAAATGCTGACTTCTCAGTTGCATGATTTTATATGCCAGAGGAGAACTGGACTCCTGACCAATAGAGAGAGGTCTGCTTCTCACTTAGCGCTGTGTACTTCTTCATGGTATCTTTAGCTCCTTAGAATATTCACTCAACACTCTTTGAGCAAATTTGGTTGAATCAAAGAGCCATTCCCATATAACTGTGTATATGTGTGTGTGTTTGGATAATGTCCACTTTCATGTTACCTTGGTGTGTTAATGCCATTGGAAATAATAAACGTTCTTTCACCCAAATTGCCTGAAGTGGAAATTTTTATCAGGCATATGTTCTTTTATTCAGATTCTCTAACAAGGTTATTTTTTGAAAAATGAAATGTTTTCATTGTTTATGGATGACTGTTAGGAAATGCAAAAAGCAAAGTTTTTTTTTTTTTTTGTTTTTTTTTTTAAGTGTTGTATCATATGTGTGTCTGTGCCCTGGCCTATTGACCATCAAGTGGGACCAGAAACTTTTCTAATGCCAGGGTTTGGATCTCTCATGCCAATTTTAGGCACGATCTCAACAATTACCTTAAATGAATTTGATTTAGCTTTGACATTATCAAAGTTCACATACACTTATAAAAAATTAACCGCACCTCAGGAAGGAAACACTTGTGTTATGTTTGGTGTGTGTGTGTGTGTGATGGATAAATCATTACTTCTAACGAGTGCCCTAATTAACTTACTTTGACTTTGTATGTATAGTTAAAGGCCTGATCTTGTAAAAGTGAGTGGTTAATACCTTTCTCTTTCCACAGCATCAGATGGATCCTTCTAGCAATTTCTATAACTATAGAACGGCTCTCCGAGGGGCGGCGCAGAGGTCCCTGACTGCTCACAGCAGCAGAGAGAAGGTATGTTGTGAGCAGTGTGTGTTATGTGTTATAGATGTGCAGTGTTTTACATTGATGTGGTGTGAGCTTCCACCCAGCATCGTCTTCGCCAGCTCAGACTGTAAGGTGGCCTTACAGACCTCTTATCCCTGACACGTGAGGAAGAGGGACATAGAGCAGTGTCCAGCTGTGGACAGAGAGGAGTGACTTGGAAAGAACTTCACAGTTGTGTATTGATTTGTATTATTCACATTCCCGATGTGTTCTGTGGTGTCTCTTAGTTATATTTCTGGCAAGTAGTTAAGTCATATGATAAGGTGACTAATAGCATTAGAGAGTAATTTAGTTTAACAGGAAAAAGACATTTAAGCTCTGCATAAGGTGGCTCACTTAATGTAACCTTTTCTTTCAAAAGAGTTAGCTTACCTCCCACAGTTCAGTCATTTATTCTCAGAAAGTAGGTTACTTAAGTTAGCATTAGGCGTGCTGCTACTAATTGCATATGTAGGTGGCCCGGGAAATACAGGGGCAATGGCTAAAAAAATTAATGATCCTGTCCTCTCTCCCCTGCTCATTCACACCATCCTGGTTCTACTGAGTTCTGGACTCTGAGGGTCCTGCTGGCACATGTCTGTCTCAGTTCCTCACAGAGGAGGGACATGTTGTCAGCTGTAGTGTTTGAGAATTAAATATCCGGTTATGATACCCGTAATGCCGATTGCTTGGTGGCAGCTACTTCAGTTCTGTCCCCGGGTTAAACAGTATTTTCAACCAGTTTGAAGAAACAGGAGAAAAGTGTTTCCTGACTTCTAAGTCACTTCCCCACAGAATCACCAGGATGAGTGAGCTAAGACGAAAACCCCTCCTTTTAAAGACGTGACACTTCTTCCACCACAGAAATACCAGTTCTGGTAACATCTGAGGAACACTGCAAATGTATTAACTTTGATTTTTAAAGGAGGAAACTTCCAGATGCCTGACGGTTTGCTAGGTTTTCTGTTCTTGCTGAAAAGGGCCAATCGGAAGTGGGTTGAGCTCCTGGGTGAGGATGAACAAATGTTGGGAGGACCCCAACATCCTGAAGTGGAGGATGCAGGGGAGCTATGGGACACCTCACATCTCCCTGTGGTGGACACCAGACTCACCACACGGCCCTCAGTCAGGGACGGAGGAGGCTGGAGAGGGCTGCAGCTCTGACATCAGCCACCAAGGGATGTCACTTGTGCAATTTCAGCAGCTGTTCCCAGAAAAGAGAACAAACTTCATTATTTGCACTTTACATCACTTAGTAAATTTGTTCTGCATCATTTTTAAAAGGCAGCTCTGTAGTTTATAGGTTGTATGTACTCTGTAGCTGACAGAACAAGCACAGTCACAACTGTTTCAAGAAGTACACTGTTCCTTCTTCATAATTGGCCTCAAAAGATAAGAAATAAAAACATGCCTGGTCAAATCTATCCCTTATTAAAAAATGAGATTATTTTCCTTATTTTGAGCCGAGGGAGTACTTTATTTGTAAGTAACTGCCCATTTTATAGTCTCCCTGGCAGCCCATCTCGAGTAATGGTCTTTGATCTTTTCCAAATCTCAAGTTTGGGCGGTGAGAGTGGCACATTTCCAGGAACCTGTTATGGAGGAAATCAAATCTGTCCTCCATACAGGAGTTCTTAAATGCTCTCAAAATTAGTTTCCCTCCCCGTGGGTGCTCGACTCTCAGTTTTGAGCTGTGCCTCACGTGATTACGTGCTTTTCAATCCCTTTGCTCGTCTATTTGGGTTTCTGTAAACCTGGTTCTCCCCATTGGCATCTGCTTCTGGACACAGAACCGGTTATCCCTTAAAGGACAAAGGCTGGTTCTGAATTATGAGTAGCTTTTCCGGCACTAGGGTTTGAACATGGAGTTTTACGCCTACCAGACAAGCATTCTACCATTCAACTCTGATATACCCCTAGCTGTCTGTTCACTGTTTTGCACTCTTTTGTTTTTGAGGACTTCATCAGGTAGCCCAGGCTTCAGCTTGCAATCCTGTTGTCTTGGCTTCCCTAGTAGCTGAGATTACCAGGCCCAAATGAATTCAGAATACACACACACACACACACACACACACACACACACACACACACACACACCTGATTTATCTATGTATTTAATGTGTACATACATGTACATGAGTACTCTGTCTGCATGTACACCTGCACGCCAGAAGAGGTCATCAGATCACTTTATTGATGGTTGTGAGCCACCATGTGGTTGCTGGGAATTGAACTCAGGACCTGTGGAATTGCAGTCAGTGCTCTTAACTGCTGAGCCATCGCTCCAGCCCCAGAACGCAGAGTGTTTTTCAAGGGAAATTTGTGATGTAGCTCGGTTGGTGGAGTCCGTGCCTTGAATTCCCCAAACAGTGGCGTTCAGTTCTCGGTACTACATAAAACCACATGAGGCCATACAGGCGTGAAATCCCAGCACTCAGAAGAATTAGGCAAGTTTGAGATTATCCTTGGCTACATAGTAAGTTTGACCAGTAATATATGACCCCCCAAAAAATGTATATTATTTACATAACAAATATAATACATTATATATGTAATAGTTTATATATGGCTACGTGAGATGTTCTCCCACTAATGATAGTGGCAAGACCCAATAGAAGACACACTTTCTCTCTTTACTTATCTCACAAAAACCTCAAGCTATTATGTTCTTCTCTTCTTCACTGTCCAGTTCCTTGTGCAGAGCTGACTGGGACTCTCATGAGTGAATGAGAAGCTGAAGTCTGAGACTCTTTTTTGTCATGGGCATGAGAGATAGAGCAGCCCAGCACCCCAAGTGAGGCTGCCTGAGTCTCCACGTTCCTGGTAGAATGACTCAGTTAGTCGTAGAGCATCTTGTAGGGACACTAAGTGCAAAGCTCACAGAAGGAATTGTTCTGCCTCCCACGGTTTATAGGGTTTATAGGCCATGTAAGGTTAATCTAAGCACCAACACAGCCCAGTAAATGAGGACCACGAGTAAAGCCCGGCCCCAGGGACTGGAACAGCACAGAAGCTTTTTGTTTAAAAGCCATTGCACTGTAAACTACTGTGTCTTGGTTTTCGTTGTGCCCCCGTTGCCCGGGGGCTGTCACAGGATACGTGCTTATTGTCTTCCAAGTGACTGCGCGCCTTGGATAGTACCAGACAGCAGACCCAGCCAGTATCTACGTGAATGAGCACGGCTACGCCCCAGTGGATCTCTGTGGCCACTGTCGTTTTAAATTTCACATGATTTTTCATGCACCCTGAAGTATTATTCTTTTGATGCCCTGCCCCAGCCACTTAAAAATGTAAGGTGTATGTCTCCTAGGTCATACCAAAAATAACAACACATACATTTAAAACAAAACAGAGCTCACAAACAAAAGCCTCACATTTTGCCAGCCCCTGGGTTTTATTACTGGCCGATTGTGGAGTCAGTTTTCAAACTGATGTCTGATGGAGTCTATAGTCCAGCACTTCCCCGTTAGTTCTAGCACTGTGGAAGGAGAGTCAGGAACTTCGGAGGGAGAAGGAAGAATATACACTCTTTGCTAACTCTGCGTTAGGGGCTTTGCAGATGAGCAAAGAAAAGACAGTCGGGGGGTGTTAGTGAACCTCAAGGTCAAGGGAAATGTGACTGTTTTCGGGGATCAGGGAGACAAAAATTCATGAAAGGTGTTGTGGCTTTTTGAAAATGACTGCAGGGGAAGAAATAATGAATTTCTCTCTGGACGTGAATTGATGCTTACTATTTGTGTGTGAGCTGGAAGGTTTGTTTTTCCATCCATGACTCATGAGCTTAGGAGACTTCAAGCTCTTGATCTTGGGGTTTTCCAAATTTCCCAAATAATCTGATGAGTTATTTACATTGCAGAGCTTTTTAACGTTCAAATGCGTTGCATTTGAGAAAAGTGAAAAAATATTGTATCTGAAGTTTGATCTCTGAGATGGGTCTATTTGGGCTTAGGGTACTTTTAAAGATTGCTACTTTAGGTTTGCTATCAAAGTACCACCTCATCAAACAAAGATCCAAGGTATCATTAGAGAGCCGTGCTGGCTTTTGAAGCCTTTAATTTTAGTTCACACAATTCCATCCCTCCCTCACTTGTGGCGCATCTGTCTAGCAACAGACAGTGCCAGGTTCTTCCAGGGGGCCTTTCCAGGATACACGCGCTGACTTGTTCTCTCACATTGCCAGGCTTCTTCCAACAGGAAATTGTAGCAACTGTTGCTTAAAACCGCCAGCTGTCACATCTTGAGCAATGGCTTCAAGGGTAAAATATAAAATAAAATAAAATAAAATATAAAATAAAATAAAAACCGACCTCATCTGAAAGGTAAAGAGACTTCCTTCAGGGACTTTCATTTTGGCAAGAACCTTTCAATTTTATCAAATTAAACATTCAAGAAACTAGGAAAAACTGTGCAGAAAGCATCCACCCATCCACTTGCCGATAGCGCTAGTCCCTCCTGGGCTCAGGTGTGGCTGGCTTTTGCGTCCAAGGCTGAGCTCTGACAGGCAGGAAGGGCTACAGGAGTTTACAGAGCAGGGTACCTTAATTCACTGCAGCCCTGCGTGCCGCCCAAGTTGACCCTGCTCCTTAACCGTGTTTGTCACGAGCATTTAAATGTTTTATTTACCCAGACAACCCTGAATCTGTTTCTTTCTAGATTGTGATACCATTCTTCAGTCTCTTGATCAAAGATATTTATTTCCTCAACGAGGGCTGTGTCAACCGTCTTCCAAACGGCCATGTCAATTTTGAGGTGAGTGTAATGAAGCGTGTTATGATTATCAGAGACTGAATCAGGCATGGGAGCCCTTGGGAGGCAGAGGCAGGAGGATTGATCACCTCCAGGCACGTTCTGCAGCTCGGGACGAACTTGGCCATTGCCCTGCTGTCTGTAAGGAGCTAACAGCACCAAACAGCACAGTAGCTGTGCCATCCATCTCTCTTCCTGTCTCTGCCTCTCCTCCCCCCACCCCCCAGCACTGTCACTGGGAGAATGTGAGTAAATCTTACCTTCCCTAGCTCGCAAATACAGTGCTTATTAAATGAAAAAGAGGAGATGATTCAGAAACTGGGTGCATTTAGAATGGGATTGTGTCTTGCAAAGCCCGTAGTGCTTGACAGCTGCCCTTGACATTCTTTAACTCTCTTTCAGAAATTTTGGGAACTGGCCAAGCAAGTGAGTGAATTCATGACGTGGAAACAGGTGGAGTGTCCGTTTGAGCGGGACAGGAAGGTCTTACAGTACCTGCTCTCAGTGCCCGTGTTCAGTGAAGACGGTGAGGCCTTTAGCTTGCACCCACCCAAATACCCCCCAAACCTTGTTAGAAATGCCTGTACTTGGTTGCCTCTCACATAGGAAGCTGATCCAACCTTTTCTTTCTGCTGCACACACACAAAAAAATCTCATGATTTACTCCTGAAATGTTTTCACTTTGTAATCAGCCAAACACAGTACATTTAAACATCCTTCCTAAGACCTGTTTCTGCAAAGTGAGAGGCGTCAGTCAGTGCAGAGCTATTGGAGGATATTTCAGAAAGTTGTGGACAGTCTTGACCCGTTAGAGCATCAGTGGAGGCAGGAAAAAATGCTGATTCTGCATAGGATGATGATTCACCAGTGAAGTCTGTAGAATACTTGGGGACTCAACCTACTATTTGTCATCTCCTCATGGTGTCTGCAGAAATAGCCAGCAGCCATTTTCAATTCATATTCCCTGTTTGGGGTGGGGGGGACTTGATTGTTTCCCTCTCTGTGAATAAGATTAACAACAACTATTACAAGATTTTCTTTCTGATTTAAACACATGATTCTATTAAGGAGCCGAGAGAGGCAGGGAAGAGGCAGGGCCCCTTCCCTCGGAGAGACCATAAATCTCAGTGCAGGACAGCACTGTTTCATTTGCATTTTGAAAGCTTTTTGCCTCATAAATTCTTGGTTAATTAAGTGCCTTTTCAGCTCAGAACCCTGGGGTTTTGTTGATGGCCTGCAAGAAGCAGAGTGCTGTTCTATGTTCTTCAGGATAATTCAGTACATGCGAAGGGTGTTCTGGAGGTCAGCCTCAAGTTGAACACAGCCTTTCCAGCAGTGGGTGTTAACGGTATCAGGAGAACGCTTCAATCCTAATGCATTCTTTCCTTTGGTTGATTGTAGCTCTCTACTTGGCTTCATATGAGAGTGAAGGACCTGAAAATAATATAGAGAAGGACAGATGGAAGTCTTTAAGGTGAGTCTCAATGTTTCTTGTAGTTGTACAAGGACATATAAAGCATTGGTTGTACCTCAAGCCAAATTGTGCCTTGTCTAGGAGCGCCCTGCCTATCTGTTCAGATCCAAAGAGTCTTACCTTTAGTTCACAGGATCTTTGCGGCTTGGGATTCTCAGTGCCACCATTCAGTTTCATTCCCTTTTATTTTTTTTTTTTATACTGGCAGATAATAGCATGCCTGAAGTTCTTCCCTGATGATGTAACAGACTACGGAACTGAGATTACCCCATGGTATAGTAAAGCAAACAAATACATTGAAGAACCAATTTTTCTTTGTTCAGACTTTACTGTAGAACAGTTCTAGTCTTCCAACGTTATTTGAGTAGGGCAACATCATAAACACTGGTAAAGGTAAGATCAGCTAAAGCTGGGATATCACTGAAGAGTCAGATATCAGGCCCCCTTGGTTTGAAAAAGAGAAGCTGGACTTAAAATATAATTAGGTTTGAAAAAAAAAAACCCAAAAAGTTGGCTGTTCTGTTAGTATTTTCAAACAAGTTTACAAGTGCTTCTATGTTAAGCACTTAAGAGATTTTAGCAGGTAGAGAAGCCAGGACATGATATGAAACAGGATGATCAAGGCTGGTTCAGACACACAACTGAAGTCAACACAAATCTAGCAGGTTGGGAGGATGGGTGAAATAGCCCAGATTTATGATCTCAGCATTTAGGAGGTGAAGCAAGAGGAACTGAGAGTTCAAGGCTGGCATGGGCTACATGGGGAGACCATATCTTAGAAAAACAACGGAAAAAGGGAGAATTACTCCTTTACTCTATATGTTAGGATAAACTTTGCCTTCCGTGTTTCTTCTTTGTAATCACCTTTTTGTTTTTGTTTCTTCTTTAACAATCGTGACCTTTGGTAAGACTCCTAGTATCTTAAAATCTTGCTGCAGAGAAGTAGTTCTGCAAGGTACTCAGTATTTGTATTACATGTAGAATCCAGATATAGCATAAAAACCCAGGCCTACCATAATTCCCTAATAGCTAATCTGTTCTCATGCAGATCTGTAGTTAGGTTGCAAATCTGAAGCTTGACAGGAAAAGACTGAATCTCGTGACCTCTCCTCGTTGCTGTCTGCACTGTACACAGTGTAGGGTAACCTGGAGATTTTATGGTGACCAAAGACTTTAGTAGGGGGACTAGAAAGCGATGGGAGAGGGACCATGTGCTGGCTGAATGCAGACATGTGTGTGGGAATCCGTTTACAGTTGCACAACCTCAAAATTGCTCAGTAATAATGTTTTTCTGGTCAGAGTGTGTTTGAGGGTTGGAAGCCAGGCGTGTTGGCACGCCTGCAATCTTAGACCTTGGGAAGCTGAGGTAATAGAACCACAAGTTTGAGGCTAGCCTGACCTACAGAGTGGGTCTGAGGCCAGCCCGGGCTGTAAATCACAGCTCCCTCTGTCTCCAGAATAATAGCGGAGGAGCTGCTGTGATGGCAATGGTTTGATGGGAAGACGTCTTGTGCACACGGTGGGAGTTATTCTTTGGCGTGAAAGACTAATTTCTATGTTGAAAATTGCCTTCTGAGGAAGCTTAAGGACCAGCCAGATTCCTGCTCATGTTTAAGCCTCACCTTTTCCATAACCATAATCATGGCCAGTACTCCACTGCCTCCTCCCTTAGAAGAAACTGCTCCCGAATGCAAATTTCTCAGACACTCTGAGCTGTCTTGTCACCTGCCACACGTTGTTTAGTAGTGTGTGTGTGTGTGTGTGTGTGTGTGTTCCTGCAGAGCTGCTGTGTGGTCCACTTGAGGGAGCACAGAGGCACGTCCCCATGGCTGTCCCTGCCCTAGACATGTTTTCTCCATTGTACCTCAGACCCAGTTCTAACCTACTAAGGGAGCTGTGCTGGCAAGTTTTACATCACCTTGACACAAGCTAGAATAATTTGGGAAGAGGAAACCTCTAATGAGAAAATGCCCCACATGATTGGCCTGTGGGCATGCTGGTCATGAATTTTCTTTGTTGGTGATTGACGTGGGAAGGACCAGCCCATTGTGGGTAGCGCCAGCCCTGCGCTGGTGGTCCTGGGTGCTATAAGAGAGTGGAGTGAATAAACCATGAGGAGCAAGCCAATAAGCAGTGCTCTTTCATGGCCTCTGACCTCCAGGTTCCTGCCCTGACTTCCTTCGGTGCAGTGATACGGAAGTGTAAACCAAATAAACCCTTTCCTCCCCAACTTGCCTATGATAAATGTATTTTGTCACTGCAACTAAAGCCCTAACTAAGACATAAACCTGTGTATCATACTCATGTCCCACACATGTAAGTTTGTTGTCCTTAATGGTTTAATATGAAACCCCTCAGGATAGAGATTTACCATAGGCAGTGTTTTGGCTGTCTCCGTTAATGACTGTTTAAGTGTCTAGTTTACTTGAAGGACCACTTCAGTCCTTGGTTTCTGCTCCATGATTTTTAACTATGTAAAAGTATGTTTAAAACAGGAGAGATGAGCATTAAGCAGGGCATCCTGAGCCAATACAACTGGTCCTCTGCCTTCCTCTTTACATGGTTTTCCTTATTCCACAGGTCCAGCCTTTTGGGCAGAGTTTAACATAAGGAGAGTGCCGTCAAGGCTGCTGCTGCTCCTGCTCCTGCATCTGCATCTCCATCAAACAGACCCTGGAGGGGCTGGCCTTTGTTTAATGGCATCCAGTACTAGGAACCACCATGCAGACCCTGCAAGCAAGCCCAGAGGCAGCTCAAATGGGAAACTCATTTCCCACAGCTGACAGATTGACTCGGATATATATATATTTTTTTTCTGAGACTGAACTCTTCACTGAAGACACTTGAGAAAGAATCCTCTGAAAGTCCTGGCTCTGCATATGATTCATCTCCTGGAATTTCCATGTGAATCACAGCTCTGCACCTGGATGGAGTTTTCTTTTGTGTGTGTGTGTGTGTGTGGTTTTGGATTTTTTTTGTTTTTGTTTTTGTTTTTTTCTTTTGCTTGAACTTTTGCTGCTAATGGAACTTACCAGCTGAGTGCTGGCTCTGTGGAAGCCTGCGTGTGTTTCTTTATTAATTTAAATGAAAAAGGGAGAGGAGGGAGGGGACTCCCCTCCCCCAGTTTGGATTGGACCTCAGCGTGAACAGTATTCCAGTGAGGGCGAAGACTGTGGACGTCTGCTGCAGACATTCCCTTAGCACGTGCAGTATTGTAAACGCCTCTCCCTCCTCTTCCTCCAAGGTTTTGAGTTGGCTGCTGGCTAGCAAACTCCTTCTCACCCATATAAGTTATTTAATATTATAATGAAGCTCAACACTGTGGTAGGAAAATAGCCACTAGGAAAAGAAGAAAAAAAAAAAAAAAAAGCAGAGTTTGTCGCTGTTGGACCGCCCATCCTGCTGGAAGAGCTGTGTTTCCTTCATCCTTCTGAGCTGTTTACAACTGACCACTGTGTCCTATAGATGTATTTTTCAGTAGTTCTCGTTTTTGTTGTTGTTGTTACTTGCTTTTCCATGACGCTCTCTGTTCATGTAAATGCTCTGACTTCAAGGGTCCTGGAAACAAATCCGGACATACCCGCGATTGTTTTTAACTAATTGCTCATTATTTCCTGGAATCTGTTGACCACTAAACATGTAAACAAGGAGTAAATTGGAAAGGTTACCTCCTCTCCCCCCTGGCAGCGCACAAAACAAGTGAAAACCAGCTTGTGGTTAACTCTCAGATTAATCTAATTGTGAGCCAAGTCACCTGTTAACATCTAAATAGGTCCGTAGTTGCTCGGCAAGCAAGCCATTCTGTATACTCTAGGAGTAGTGACCCCAGCTAATGAAAGCCCGCCACACCAAGGCCCAAACCCAGAAGTCTTTGTTAACCCTTTTGATGCCGTACTGAGAATCAGCATGTCTTTGTCCAACAGGCCTGAACTGTCTCCAAGTTGTCCCTTCACAACGTCAATACATTTTACACTCTGCAGCCTGGAGTTGTGGCGTCTTTCTTTGCTTTTTGGATGGAATTGTGGGTAGCTGGGCTTACAGCCATAGTCATTGGACTGGTTCAAAACATGTGTACCCCTGAGGGAGTGCCCTTAGGTCCATGGGCATAGATGCACATTCAATCACTCATAATTTTCAGACAAGTTGTAAGGTGTGTAAGCTCAGATCCTGCCATCCTCATTCCCACCCTTAGATACAGAACAGGAAATGGCTGTAATTTGTCAGAGGCCACCGAGCTAAAGAGAGGCACAGGGTTAAACAGTCTTTAATACAGAGCAGAGGCCAAGCTTTAAACTACCATGGCTTCTCAAGCTTCTGTATGGTTGCAGACAGGTTGGGGAATCTTGTTTCCCTATAGATTTCCAATCTGCAAGACTGGAGTGGGGCCTGTGTGATGCTGAAGTCCTTGATTTAGTTTATACTCCAGGCTCTTTTCTTTTTTTTTAAGATTTATTTTATTATTTGTTCAGTACTCTGCCTGCATATGTGCCTGCAGGCCAGAAGAGGGCACCAGATCCCACTATAGAAGGTTGGGAGCGACCATGTGGTTGCTGAGAATTGAACTCAGGACCTTTGAAAGAACAGCCAGCTCTTAACCTCTGTGCCATATCTCCAGCCCCGACTCTGGACTGTCTGGTCACAGTTGTACCTGGAGATTTACATTGGCGGAAGTGACTGAGTAATGGCATTGGGGAAGCCATCACTGTTGAAAGAGATCTTACATTTCCTGGGAGAAGGGAACTGGGCACACCAATGAAGGACCAGAGGGAACTCATTAGGTACAGGACGCAGAAACGGAAGAGAAACGGAGGCCCTGCCGTATAGGGAGACTTTTTCAGGAAAGGCATGGCAAGGTAAACCTTTAGATTTAGTCACTAATTCCTGGGGGACCTCTGGGGCCTGGGGGTGGTCTTAGGTGCCCCGGAATGATTAAGACAGGAGAAATGCTATGCAAAAGATAATGGAGAGGGCCAGGTTCACAGACTGGGGATTAGCTGGGCTGCTGATGGAGGGTCTCCTCTTGACCTTTACTCTTTGCCATCCTGTTTAGGCTCGAGAGGGTCTGTCTCTCATCGGCCAGCAAGATCCTGAAGATTTTAAAACGTCTTACAGAAAAATTTTAAAATGTGATTAATACAGCGCTACAATACTGTCTTCCCCCCTCCCCCACCCCACTACCCTTTATTCACGGTCTTCCCCGTCCTCCATAATTGTAACTGATAGTAACAATCTTCACCTGTCAGGGGTTGGTATTTTATGGGCTGCTGGCCAAAATGAGCCAGCTACTTGTTCTCTGTGGCCCATAGGCAACAGGTTGGAAACCTCAAAAGTGGAATTATATTTTATGCCATATGGAAATTATGTGCACTTCTAATTTTAGCGTCCATAAATAGAGATTTAAGGGAACATGGCCATGGTAGCCATTTATGTGTTTCTCCTGTGGCTGTCTTGGGCTGCAGCCATCGCCTTATTATCCTGGCAGAGACCATATAGCCCGAAAGCCACCTACATACTTATACTTTGGCCCTTTACGGACAGTTTACCAGAGCTAATTCGTTCTTTTTGTTGATTAATTTTTTTTTGTTTTGTTTTGCTCTGTCTTGTTTTTATTTTCTGCATTAGACCAATAGTTTTCAGGCATCAGATACCTAAATATGCCCACTGTTTGTTTTATTTTGTTTATTCTGAGGTAGTCTTAAAACTAGAAATGTGATTCCATGGTGGTTTAAACAGGTTTTCTGTTACCATGGTTACCAGGCTCATACGTAGCCTCTTGTTTTACCTTCTAGCTGACCTAGAGGTTTAAACCATGTGTGAGCTTTTATGGCAACTACTGAGTATTTCTCCCTTTGGTGCCTCGTGTATATGTGGCCTTGATAGCACTTTAGCAGAGACATTTCCAGTTGCTGTGGTTGGCTGGAAGCCTGGGTAAAGGCAAGTGTAAACAGCATTAGGCAGTGACAGTAGTTGTGTTGAGGTATGCCTGCCACACATTCCAAACCTACAGGGCTTGGAGCCGAGGCCTGGGCCTGTTTTCCATATCTAAAGAAGATACCGCAATTAACTACACGCTGCCCCCTCTGTGTTTGAAGGCTTCACGCTTTCATCTTCCCGTCTGCCTAGCTGGAGCCTCTGCTATTCCCTGTCTTCTGCCACTCTCTCTGGGCCCAGGCCTGCTCGCACTGCTGCCCAGCTGCCTCCTGTGTGTAGACGCTCCTGTAACTCCATCTTTAGGAGCTGAGCTGCTCAGCTGCATCCTGAGCTCCGGGTTCTGAGTGGCCGTCAGGATCCAGGAATGCTTTGTGTTTACCCTGTGGTTCTCAATACGAGGCAGTGCCTCCCTGTATTCCAAATCAGTCTCTAAGGGCAGGAGAACGCCAGGGTGGGAATAAGGCCGGTTCAGGCCAGTTTTCTTCTGTTGCTAAGGGTTCAAAAGAATGCATGAATGTGGTTCCTGAACAAGAATCTAGCCAGTGACCTGGAAACTACTAACTAACATAAAACTCAAAGATAGGACAGTGGTGAGTCCCTTGGCTTTTTTTTTTTTTTTTTTTTTTTTTATCCTTGGGAAGTTTGAAAGGCAAAGCTTTGGCCTGACTTGGGCTTCTTGGGATGAGTGAAAAGGTGGGCCCTTCCTGCGTAATTCAGGCTAAAAGGGTTTTGGAGGGTAAGGGGGTGGGGTGGGGAGGTTAGATGATTGGAAATTACCTCAGTTCTCTTCTTCATGTAGTCAAGGTCACTTGACTGCACTCAATGCTGGTGGGGATGTTGCTGATGAAGGTTTATGTCTCCAAGCTTTATGGTTTAGGATCTGCAGACTGGCTCTATGTAAAATGGAACAGTGCCCAGTCCTGTACGTAAGAGTCCAGGCCTTTTAGAAGATTGTTTACTCCCTCCCTTGCTCTCTCCCTCCGTCCCTCCTTCCACTTAATTCAATGAAGAAATTCCACGGTAGCTAATTTCCTTTGCAACGCTAGTTCCCGTCCATAGGCTTAATTTCTGCACTCTGTGAGCCTCTGCCTTCTTTCTATTCAAGTGTGTATATCCAAGTCTGGGCAGTAGGAGGCAGCTGTCTTGGACTAGTGTCAACTCAGCAGTTCTAGAGAAAAGTGTGGAGATCCTAACTTAGGGAACTGAAGGAGACATATGCTTATAAAACAAAGGGTAAACTTACTTGCCCCTCCGTGGAGCATTAAACACGCCTTGTACCTAGGTCAAGTCTGCTTTCTTTCCCTTTCCACCTACGCTGCTTGGGGAAATGAAAGTTAGTGTGAACTCATTTTTCTCCTGATGAATCACTGTGGGAAAGTGAGTTTAGCAAGAATGTGTTGTCAATTTAGTTGAGACAAAGTGGTCAGAGGACAGGCATTGTGTTTTGTTTTTCTTTTTCTTTTTCTCAAGTGATTATGAGTCCTGAGTGCAGATGAGTGGTGATGTGGAGATTAGTGTGTGCTTGGAGAACATACACTTGAGCAAGACAGTTCTTGGTCTGGTTAGCATCCAGGAGTCACAGGTGTCATTAACAGATCTGGGGTTGGGAAAGTGAATAGGTCAAAGTGATGTATAACTCTCATGGGTGGTACTGTCCTTACAGAGACAGCAAAGAAAATCCAAGCCCGTATTTGTTTCGTTTTGTTTATAAACGGTTAAATTGTTAATACCCTCTGTAGTTGTTAGTACATGACAGTAAGTCCACCCTTCACAATAATATAAAACCCCAGCGAAGTGGCCGACGTGGTTTGGGGACATGGGATAAGTTTGAAACATATTTTAAGAAAACACTGGTTTAAGAGTGAGAACTAATTGCTGAACCTCACTCCAGTCAGTTTTCTGGGACTTTGGAGAAGTTTTTCCCCTCTGACCCTCAGGCAGGATCTTCTTTGTGAGTAATGGGTCTAACCAAATTGAAGCGGATGGACTGTTGGAGGTCTGCAGGTCTGTAGGATTAGAATTCACTTTCTTGGCTTGCTGGGTTCAAAGGTGAATTAGCAAGTAAATGCAGTGTCCTGTTTGCATACTGCCACCTTCACGTCTGCGGGAATCCTGTGCTTTGTTTAATGGTGTTTGCTGAAGGAAAGGGTGAGGGGCTAAAGCTACTACTAGCAGCTGAGGAAGGCAGGTCGAAAGCGCAGTTGCAGGCCAGGAAACAAGATAGACGTCTTCAAAGAAGAGTGGCCGTTACCTGGCCCACAAATTGAATAGGCTCATGCAAGATCTGTTCTGTGGTCTCAAAGGTGCTAGAATAAGAAAGCATAAGGACTACACAAAGACTCTGCTGTATAGGCCACATTTTCATTATAGCAGCTGTTGGAACTGTGCTTGCTAATGTAGATTTGTAGATAAAAATCACAAAGTGCCTCTTCACACCTAGTCCTTTACAAAAAGTCACACTTGGCTTACCAAAAGAAGTGATGATCCCAGTCTCGTTCTGCACTTGTCAGCATCCTTTGGGAGACAGTATGGCCTCCTTTGAAGGCTGTTCAGAAGGGGATGGGCTGTTGAATATGACACATGTGATAGGGAATCAGAAAGGGAACAAACACATCATCCCTGGATGCTGAGGAGCTTTCCTTGTGGATAAGTACTCAATGCATTGATCTATTCAGCAACAGAGAATAGATCAAAGGTGGAAAAAGACAAACACAATCCCCTAGGCGGGAGAGTGATGGAGAGGGGTATGTACATAGCAAGGCACATAGCTTTGGGTGGGTGAGAGAGCTTGACAGGAGGTATATCTGAGCATCTGAAATACTCAAACTCATTTAAAACCTAATGAGAAAACAATGAAGCCGAGAAACCGGTTCTCTTGGGAACCTGAAAGCGATTTGCTCTTAAATTAGGTGTTAGGTAAGTGACTAGAATTAGATGATTTTAAGGCTTATTTTCAGTTATAGGAACTTATGGAACTGACCCCACAAATACTGTGAAATACTAGGAAACAGGATTCAGCAGCTGCTCTCTACCTATCCAAAAACGAAC